TGTTTTGCTGGCTTGTGATGGGGTGTGAACCGACAGTCTGTAGAGTTTTCCATCTGGTGTGGGTGAGTGATAGTCTACTTTGATTTTGGTTATGGTAGATTATCATTTACAGTGTAATCAGTGAGGGGATTCTGCAGACTGTTGAGGGTTCAGCCTCCTGATGAGTCGGTGAAACTCCGACGAAACAGTTTGTCACAGCCCCTCGTTTGTTGTCCTCTTCTCTCTCTCTGCCTACGGTTTACCGGGCAGTTCTGTTTGTGACGATATATATAAATATAAACTTAATTCATTTTTATATCTTCTTCCTTACAACTCCCCCTGTTCAGAACCTCTTGCGTACAAGGCCGCCCACGTGGATGTAGAGTTTCGACACATAAAAAGTAATGCCGGGCTGAAACTCCGACGATACACTTTGTCACAGCCCCTCTCGTTTGTTGTCCTCCCTCTTCTCCCTCTTCTCCCTCTCTGCCCCTACGGTTTACCGGGCAGCTCTGTTTGTCCTCTTCGCCCTCTCGGTTCATATTTCAATTTGGGGTTTTTTGGTACCCTATTTTGATCTGCCTCGACGTCGATTAGGAATTCCTGTTTACTGGGCTGGTGTGTTTGGCTATATATAAAGTCAAACAGAGGCCAGGTCCCACTACCAGCGTCGAGTCTCCTCAACGCCTGAATCTGGACACGTTCGTGGGGATGTGCGGATGAGAAAACTGAACGCCATTTCTAAACATATCCATAGACACGTCCAGATTCAGGAGTTGAGGAAATTCAACGCTGCTAGTGGGACCTGGCCCCGGTAAACCGTAGGGGCAGAGAGGGACAAGAGGGAGAAGAGGGAGAAGAGGGAGAAGAGGGAGAAGAGGGAGGACAACAAACAAACAAGGGGCTTTGACATACTGTCGGCCTCGTGGGGAGTCGGTGAAACTCCGTCTACTCATCAGTTCGTCACACCGATTTTTTTTTTTTTTTTTTTTTTTTTTGTCATCACACCGATTATTTGTCTTCTACGCATTTTTTTTTTTTGTTTTTCGGCCTTCTGTAATGACTGGCCGTTCGATTCAGGCGAAGACCGTGACGGTAGTCTTTCATCTAAGAATATAGAAAAAAAAAAAATAAAAAAAAATCAACAGGCTGAGCTGTCGAACCGAGGGATGCGTTTTCTTTTTTTTTTCCTTTCAATTTTTGAATTATGATTAACCTCATTTCCTTCAAACCCACTCGTCAGGGTTTGAACTTTGATCCCCGGCATAAACTGGGGTTTGAACTCTGTACCTCGGCAGAAACTGGGGTTTGAACTTTGGACCTGCGGCAGAAACTGGGGTTTGAACTTTGGACCCAGGTACAGATCCCCCCGTTCAATGACATAAGCAGAGACAGACCCAGTGTGAGTGAGTCAGGGTTTGAACTTTCAACCCGTGGTTGAAGCTGGTACAGATCTTGCTTGAGGTACCAACTAACCGACGAGTTAACCATCGAGGTAGACGCACCCCCTCCAGGGCCGAGGTCCCACTAGCAAAGAGGATCGGATCGAATGCCTGAATCTGGATGTGTTGTATGCAGAGATGCAGAAAAGCAGTTCAATCTCGATTGCCTGCACCTCTCCACAAACACGTCCAGATTCAGGCATTCGATCCGATCCTCTTTGCTAGTGGGACCACGCCCCAGGGGCCTGGGCCGACTAGCACTCGTTTTAAACGTGAGACAGTGCTGCGTGACCCGCTTTTGGCATTAAAAAAATGGTTTCTGCATTTTTTTCAGATTAAAAAAACTCTCTTTCTTCTAGATAAAGAAAGCAAAATTCAGCTTAGGGTGCTCCCGTCAGCCAATGGGATGGGAGCCGTCGAATTCATCGCCTCTTTTTCTGGAGGCATGCTGGACTCAGCCAATGGGCTGCGTCCAGTACTTCGTACACACCACTTCATTTTTCTCTTCTCAAGACGTGAAGTACTGTAGCAGGGATGCGTTTTTGCCCCCCCCCTCAGAAAGCTGTGAAAACGCATCGCTGCTACAGTGATTTTGAATTTAAAGAAAAAGAAGAAATCATGAAAGTGCGTAGGGTACACAGGCAAAACTTTTCGCCTTTTTTCGAGTCTCTGCAAAATTCGGAACTCCGCATGATTTCCCCTCCATCGATGGCCTGTAGTCATCTAAATCTGTCACACGTGATACAAAACCAAACGGACACGGTCTAAAACGGCGCTAGCCCCAGGGTCCGATTATCAAAGCTTACCGGTCAGCCATAAGCCAGAAAAAGAAAAAAAGAAAAAAAGAAAAAACGTTGGTCTGTACAATGAAAATAAACAAAAAATCCAGCGGCCTAGCTCAGTTGGTAAGGCACACAAGTGGCATTCAGGAGGTCCTGGGTTCAATCCCCATTGGCCTCATGTACCTTCCTGGGCAAGCTTGGCGCCCGCCACCTAGAGATATGCCGTTGGTCCCCCCCGAGTGGCATTGAGCAGAGACTGCTGGTGTTCATAGGGGGAGGGGACCGGAGGGGAGGCACAGTGACTGGCCCATCGAAGAAGCTCGGTCCTGATGCTACCGGCCCACCTGCTGTAGCAGGTATCACACCTGCTGGTGGGTGCAGATCCTGCATGTTCCCTCGTTGGAGGCTTGAGCACGGATGTGGCTGCTACGGGGTTCCCCGTAATACTATAATGACCTAGGCTACCAGAGTGGCCCGGGGTCACTTGCCTGGCCGGGCCAAAATGATTAAAAAAAATAAAAATAAAAAAAATATTTTTGAATTTTATTTTTATTTTAAATTTGGTGAAGAATTTCAATGTGACCCTGAGGCAAAAGTTGTTCAGTTTATTTTTCTGCATAACATAGTTGTTTTGTCAGAATTTTTGGATTTTTTTTATTTTTTATTTTTTTTGCTGCGACCTTACCTGATCCTTGCACGGCCTGGCCACGCGGGACCCGGGCGGCCCGGCTGGTAGCCTAGATGATGACAATAAAAAAAGCCTGAAAGGTCGTCCTGTCCAGATTCGGCAGGTTATTGAATTGGTTGGGCTTAAAGAATTAGCCTTAAAAAAAAAAAAAAAAAAAAAAAAAAAGAAAGAA